CTGTTTTTAATTATAAGTTTCTGAATGGAGCATTCGCTTTTAGGACTTTAGCTGGAACTAAATATTAGTAGTTCTTATGTTAACTGATATCAGCGCCTTGAAAAGTTGATGAAAATAAATAAACATTAGTATAGTGCTTTAAAGAGATATGTCTAGCCAATGATGTTAATTAGGATTATAACTGAATAAATTGGTGGGATTGTATCGCACTGTGTAAATCGACTTTGGTCCAGCGTACGTATTTTGAGCCCTCATCTTTTCACTCAATCTATATAGCTGATCAGCGTTTGCTTGTGTGGGTACCACAAGATGTTTCCATATTACGAAAGAATATGCAATATTTTGTTTCTCAAAAGCTTTAGGGCATTTTTGAAACAGGTTCCTTCTATTACAATAAAATAACCCTAAACCTATGGTGCTCCCATGTTACTGTACAAAAGGTACAGCGAATAGTGACAACTGCCAAAGGCCGTCATTTTCGTACGTACATTACTCGAAGACGGCTTTGCTTCTTGAATGCTTGATCAGGGATTCTCGTTAGGTTGTTATTTTGAAGCAAGCTAAAAGAGAACAAAAACCTGGATTTTAGGTGAAGAATGACAAGTAAAGTAATGAGTAAATTAAGAACAAATGCTAACAATAGAAAGGCATCAACAAGATGAATGATGCTTATGATTCAGTTGTTACGTACATTATGCTAAGATATATCAAATTCTCGAAGGCTCTTTCAGGGATTTCCTTGATTCTGTTTCCGTCGAGAAATCTGAAAAAAAAAGCAATAAAACTTACACTTGTTTTATTTATTCAACCTGTCAACAATGAAACATCTTAAAATTAATGGCTTTAAAAAGATTGGACAACTCAGAAAGGGTGTGTGTGTGTGGGGAAACTTATAATTTAACGTAGCCTGCAGTGCACGCGTTTTCTTTGAGCGCGCAATTTGCTCGCGAAATGTTGAAACCTCCCGAAGAGAGAAGGAGATGGGGCCAGTCCTCGCGCCTTCCGTAAGGGTTAATATTTCTACTCTCCCCAATCTTCCACTGTCATAAATCAAAGATGGTGGCTACAACAATATTACGAACACGAACAAGGTTTCGCCCACCCAAAATACGCCTGCACTGCGGGCTAATTTTAACGCAATTTTATACAGGAGGCTCTAATCCGAGATCAAACCCCTTACCTTTTCACATACCATTTTTGGGGTAAAAGATATCCCTTTCGTATTCTTGTCATTGAAAAATGGTACCCCTTTCACATACTACTTTGTAACGCTGCATAACCTTTATATTTTGTAAAAGTACCATCGGTTTACTCTTTTTGCAGCCACAAACTGCGCCTGTCAGCCCTTGTAGGTCCTTTCACAATCCGCAATCACAGATTTCCCAAACCCTTTCATATGCTTCAACTAGTGAAATCCCTGCCCTTTCATATACCTGAACGCTAAGAAAGGTATCCCTTTTTGGCGGAGCCTTCCCGTAGAATAGGATACGATACGATAGGATAGCTGCTTTATTATCAACAGAGCGCCTACAGACTAGACTACGAACAGTCTCTCTTTTTTCTTTAGTCCGTCGAGCAAAACGCGAGACACGCAAATGGCCACGCGCGAGACTGATGGCGCGAGATGGGAGAGCCACGTCTCGCGGCTTCGCCGCTCGCGCGCGCGTGTGCACTCCCCTTACTAAACCGGAAGAAAAAGAGAGACTGCTCGCAGTCTACCTACAGACACATGTGTTTACAACGATAACAAAGATTTTAGTGCAATAATTACAGAGGTGTACATTTGTAGAATTTATACAACTAGACAAGGTTATATCTAACGCTTCTTTCTCTTTCGCGGAAGCGATCACATACGTATTTAGCCACAATTTTTTGCGTTTTCTCTCTTTGCTTCATACTTATCAACGTTGCAAAAGCAGAGCTTGGAGTCATAGAGTCAAGAAAAAGATTAGTTTACTTTTTTAGCGTATTGAACAGCTCTCTCCTAGGATCCCTATAAGTTATGCAATTCATTAAAAAATGCTCCTCGTCTTCTAATCCAGTTTTACATAATGGACAGATTCTTTGGTCTGGTGGTTGATAGGGTTTAACGTATTGCCCAGTTTCAGTTGCTAGTTTGTGGTTGCTTAATCTTAGCTTTGTGATTGCTACTCTATGATTGATGTTTCTTACATTTGTGAGGTAATTTTCGAAGTCATGGGTAAGTTTAAATTTCCTAAAAGTTCCTGGTTTGTTTTTTTGTTGCGGGTCCTTTCGTTCATTATTGTGTATTTCGCTAATCCATGTTTGCTGTTCTATGTCTAAGAGTCTCTGTCGTATATAGCTCATGGTTGCGGGAGTGTTCGTTTTCGCTGACCATATGTCGCCAAGACCTGCGAGATTTAATAGCCCTTTCAATTTGCTTGGCCAAAGTTCCTTTTTGTCTTGACCAATTTGATCTGTAAATACTATTCCAGAGAGTTTATTTTGGTGTTCCGGCTCACAAAATTTCAGCCAATATTTAATGGCTCTGCACTTTGTCTTCGTTCGTATTGGGAAACGGCCTACCTCCGATCTGCACGCATTTGAGCTACAGAATTTGTTAACTCTCAATAGCCACCTAATGAACTTTGTTTGTACAAACTCAATTGGATCATTTTCTAGCTTTCCGTCTTGATTAACACCCCAGACCTCGCTTCCGTGCGTGAGTATTGGGGTAATAACCGTGTCAAAAATTTTCATTGTGAGCTGTACATCGTCTCTGAAATGGTCGCCCATTTCCTTCCTGAGTTTTTGCAAAGCTTTAAGGGCAACCTTCTTTATTTCCTGTTTAGCGTACGTGAAGTTCCCATAAGTACTAAATTGTAGGCCAAGATATTTTTAATTGCTAGCATTGTCAAGTTTACTGCCTCTATAGTATAATACGTGCTTATTCATGGTTCTCCCGCAGTTATTAAAAATTAACACCTTAGTTTTATTAAGGTTAACCGACAAGTCGTTTTCTTTACAGTATTCACTGAGGGAATCCAAATAATCCTGCAGTCCGTTTTTTGATTTGGAGAATATGACCAAGTCATCCGCGTAGAGCATACAATTAACTTAACGGTAACTCGTTTAGTTCTACGTCATTTAGGTTCTTGGCCTTAAGTTCCTCTGAAAGGTAACTGAGATAAAGGTTAAAAAGGGTTGGCGAGAGCATGCAACCTTGTTTTACTCCGGTATGGCATCGAAAGGCAGGTGTTAACATATTCTCCATTTTCACAGTTGATTTATCATTGGAGTACATTGAATGTAAAATCTCAAGGAAACGCCCCGTTACGCCCGCTACCCTCAATTTTTGAAACAGTTTCCCCCTGGGGGTACTATCAAATGCTTTACTGAAGTCAACAAAGCAGGTGAATAAAAGGTTATTTGATTTCTTGGGTTTAGATTTAACATATTTGTCTATTAGTGCTTTTAAAATGAAAATACTATCCTGTGTACCATGTTTTTTTCGGAAGCCACATTGTTCCGGAGTAATTATGCCCTTTTCAATTAGATAGTCACAAAACCTGTTATTCATTATTGAGGTAAAAATCTTTCCCACTGGGTTGGACGGATCACCTTTTTTCAGGGTTTTTTGAAGATTGGTATAATTGGGCCATGACTCCACACGGTAGAGTACCTACCACTGATTAGGATATTATTGAAAAGGATTGTGAGAGGCCCTTTTAAGGCCTCCTTCGGCCATGTTTGAGCAGCTCACATAAAATGTTATCTACTCCCGGGGCCTTTCCAGTTTTAAGAGGTCGATAGCAGTTACCGTTTCTGTTCAGATATTTCATAATCTAGGGGGCCCAAGGCCTCTGATCTTGTTGGTATGTTCTCTTCATTTTGCTGTTTTCGTGCGTTCAACTTTTTAAAATAACTGTAAAACTTCCCTAAGTCATCAGATGTGTTTTTTTTGCATATTTTTGGATTTGCGCAGGCTGAATAATTTCCTAAGTTGTCTCCATGCAGTTTTAGCATTGCTGAGATGAATACATTTAATTATCCGATTATTATGTTGGCGTTTCTTTTTTCTACATAGATGTTTGAAAGCCTTTTTTTTTCTTGTGTAGACTTGATCTCAATTCCTCCACGTTCGGGTTTCGTGAGATATGCCTCCCTAATGACTTAAGATTTTCTTTTTCTATGTTGCATTGCTCGTCGAACCATGGTTTTTCAATATGCATGAAGCACTTATCTTGGATGGTGCTTTTTAAAGTAGTCAGCAAGGGCGTTTAGTGCTTGTAAAGGAGGGAACTCTCAATTGTACTGCCTCGAATGCCATCTTCTATTTTGTAACCTTGACGAGTTATACTGCCTCCTGTTAGCTTGTTCCCTGTTGCCCTCTCTTCTTAATCCTATGCGTGATTTAATGTTCGTTATCAGTCTCTTGGTCCCTATTTTGTTGTGGAGATGTAAATCGTTAAAGAATACTTCAGGATCTATGTTTCCAAATGTGGCAACCGTCACCCTTTGATTATTTATGTAGGTGATGCTATGCTCCGTGCAGATTGTCTCGTAGCAGTAATTAATATCGTCAATTTTTGTGTTGTTTCCCTTAGGGGCATATGTGAGACCAAACAAAGCAATTTGTGCATTCGGCCATCGTCGCTTTAGCGTAATTACGCAGCTTTCCATGTTCATAGCTATGTCGTTTACTCTGAGTTTATCAACATCGTTTGTTCCGGAATGTACAATTATATGATCCTACACATTCCTATCCACCATTGCTTCAATATGCTGTTTCATTTCTCTTGTTGCTCCTAGTACATATTGCTTGTTGACAAGTCGTTGAGGACAAAATTTTCTTCAGTGTTGGATTCCTCTTAAGATGGAGTCGCCGATCATGAGCATGGGGCCATTTTGCGCCTTAGGTTGCTTTTTAGTCTCCTTCCGCGCTTCATGGTTATAAAGGCTTCCCTAGTCTGCTGAACATCCGAACTGTTTGAATGTTCTCTCGTCATCGCTGCTGTAGCTGTAGATTGCTCATTAAACACCTGTGTTTGTCTCTTTGGAAACTGAGGGTCAAGTACTGCAAATCTGTTGTGCGTATTCACGGTGAAAGTCTGATCCCTTGCCTCTGCTGTAATTTCTTCAGTTGCAGTACTTTGGAGAGTCTGCAAGTCAACGTTGTTTACTGTAACTTCGGTGAACGTGCGCTCATTAGATTCTGTTTGTGATTGAGAATCTTCATTCTTGGCGACTTGCGTCATGGATATGAGAAATCAGTGATTCCTCAGAAATGCAAACTTGATTTTTGATCTCACCAAGTTGTACAATGTGGTTTACTGAATCTTCGGTCGACTTGGCTCTGGTTTTTAGAGCTTTTAGTTCGGCTAGTAACTTACTGCTTAGATTTGAGATCTGCTATAACTAGTTTTTGTATCTCTCCGCCAAGCTCAATCTTCAACGCATGTATGCTGCTGTCACATGCCAGATTAACCTCTGGTTTGATTTTTACATGTTTGTTCTAAATCTTTAAGCTTTATGACCTGCTCGTTAATTCCAATGGAGTTTGTTGTGATCAGGCTCCCGTATATTCCATTATATGGAGTATCCGCCCCCCCCTTGGGTTGCACCCCAAGTACTGCCAATCACATCAAATCTCTCGACAATTCCACAGCTACAGCTGTTATTTTCCTGAATAAAGTAGCGTTAGAGAAACTACAACACCTGGACACTTCAGTCGTAGGTTGACAATCACTGAAAGCCAAGGCACCGTCACACCGAGATTAGATTTTGCTGTTTTAAATCTTTAAAAATCAGATTGAGGTATTGAGCATCAACATCTGCTATAATAAATAATTTAATTAACAAACTGCACGCAATCAAAGTTTCGCGAATGACAACCAGCCGTTATAAAACATTAAGTTTCAGGGCTATTAGCTTCTCAAAAGGTTGTGGAGGAGGAGAGGGGGGGGAGGATTAGTGATGTACACGTATGACACGTATGGGTAAGAACATTTTTCCAAGTCTATTAATGTGATCGAATTAATTGATCTATAATGTTCTTTTTTTGTTTTAAAATCAGTTAAGGATAAATTTCTGGATTTTCATAGGTTAAAGTTTATTCGTTTTATTTTATTTCAGCCTTGGATAAATCTATAAATTATTCGAAGTGTGTAAATATTGCCACATATCCCATTATTGTTATTGTAACATATTACTACCGTAGTTACTTTCCAAGCTTCTCAGTGGCCTTGCCTCGCCACAAGATTAAGTTTAAGCTCAATCGACCCGGTAGCATGCTTACTAGTATTTTTCAAGGGCAGATCTTTTTCAGCATTAAGGGATAGGAGGCCTATTAGCGTTGCAGTGCCGAAATTGTGAAAAGAGCCTCCCATTCGCACAAGTTACTGTACTTGCAAAAGTACGTAATACTTTTCGGCCCTATCCACACGAATCCGGGCAGGCTAAAACCGGTTTCAGTCGTCTACAAAAAACAAAACAAAACACTCTGGAGAGTGGTTTCAAAAAGGTTTTTCTAAGAAAAATCAAGTCAGTTGTGGGATCTTTCACGCGTACTCCTCTCGAGAGCTTTGCATAACTTGAATGTATCCTTGTCTTCCTTGTATCTATCCAGTACCCGTATAGGCTCGTATGTTTGTGGTATGTTACTCGTATGTAGTTATATAGCTGCGCTTAAGCAACGAATACGTTGACGTTCTGCACGTCAAACATAACAGCTGGAAGTTAATAAGTTCTCGCTTTAAGCGGTCTGACTCAATAACTTCACCCTACAAGAGTAAAAATGCAAAAAAAAAAAAACAACAACAACAAACAAACAATGAAAAAAAACGGTTGTTTTCATGGCGGCCAGGATGGCAGCGTTCTCGTTGCTTAGGCTCGCTACCCGTTTACATCCTTTGCTAAATGGGAATATGTAACTCGTAGTACTCATGTAGTGCCTAAACTATGATAAGTCATGTTCCTTAACAACAAAGAAATAAACACTTGAACTTTTTAATTACAAATAAAACAGGTTAAAATAGTGTCCTGGGAATATGTCAGGTGGAAGCCGTTCAATTTCGTTGTCGGGGAGGGACCTGCACATGAAATGGTTTTAATATGTATTTCAGACAAGAGTAATTCAACTAAATCTATGTGTGTAATTTTGGTGGCCGTAGCATCAAGCGGTTCTGAACTGATTATAGAGGAGGACCCCGGAGGGCCTCCCGGTCGCAGGAAGCAAAACAAAGCCCGGTCTGAACAGGGTTAAAGTCATTTTTCACGAGGAAATAAAAGTGGCAAAGGGTTATCGAAGAAAAAAAAATATATAGAAGAAGGTAGAAAGAGTGAAGGCGTCCTTGTAATCTTGCCATTTTCAAGTTCAGAGAAAAGGTTGTGACGCCTCTTATCAACAATTAAAGTTCGTCAAAATTTTACTCGACTTCATAATAATAATTAACAACAAAAAATCTTTAACCCTATTCAGACCGATCATTTTTTTTGGCTTCCTGCGACTTGAAAAGCCACTCATACTATAACTTAAAAAACGCTCATGCTACGGCAGCTCGTGTTACACAGAATGATGTACTCATCATTTCCAACCTCTAGGCCTAACTTTAATACGTAGTCCAAAGATTGGATTGTAAATGGTCAAAAAATGCCCTAAAATATTTGTGAGACCGCGGGATGCCTTTGTGCCCGGTTGAAGAACACCAATCTTGGGTTAAGTGCAATGTTGAACACTGGCGGCCAAAGGGTCATAACATCAACTCAGACATTATCCCTGTATTAATTGCTGAAGATCACAGCATCAAACATCGCATCATGGAGGACATTTCTATTGAACAAAGAAAATCCTTTTTGAATAGGGAAAAGGGACTGGAACTCCTAGCCATTTACAATTCTCTCCTGACCACGTAACAACAAAGTTAGTAGCCGTTCCCTATTATTTTCTAATTTTAATTCGTATTTTAAAATTTGCTTTTGCTCTAAGCTTTGGATTTTTTTATACATGCTTGCAAGAGATAATGATTCTCTCATGATAGTTGTGAAGGGTTTTAGTCTTAATAATTAGCAACAAAAATATACAGAAATTGAAACTTACAACAAAGTTAACCAAGCGAGATTTGAAAATATCCCAGGTGGAAGGTGTACAATTCTGTTGTTCTGCAGGTTTCTGCAAAAATAAGTAATAGAGAAATGACGTGAGTATGATTAGGAAATGCGATCGTTCAAAGAAACGGTCTGCACGCATAGCACGGTAAAAGCAGTTCAACTGATATGCGGTTAGAAAGACTCATTTCAATAACATGTCTCTGTTTCGGAAAATCTTGTCTCAGTTACGCTATTTTCAATTTCTGAATATTGTCTCCAAATAATCTATTCATATGTACAGTTACTCTGGTGACTAGTTTTCAAATTCTCACACGTACACAATGCAAAAATTCATTCGGCAAACAGTTCCATTTTATGGATTTTTCTAGTTCACCTTTTTTTTCTGAGGGATTAAGACTTGTAACACCTTCTGAAGCATGATACGATAACAGTAACTAACAGTGATACTTGTATATTGGTTACTGAGACGATTCTGAAGCGCTTTGCTTTTCCAGTGGACAATCCAGAGGGGAGAGGTGAAGGTGAGGCGGAAGTCGCACCCAAGTATATCCATCAGACAGGAGGATTAATAACTTAAACTAACTAATTTTAAAACAGCTTTGAAGAATCGCAAAAAAACTATCCTCTCTTAGCTTAAAAACAAAGATAGATTTGGATGTTTGTAGAAGGCAATGTAGTAACTTGTATTGCGTGTATAAGAAAGGACCCATCTGTAACTTAATCACAAGCCCAATAAAGGCCCTATGTTTCTCAGAAATTAGCTCTATACTCCAACTACTTGTATGGCAACATTAAATTTTGACCAATTAAAGCTGCAATACAAAGTGTCAACACCTGCTAATTTTCACATCGACCACTAATTGCCAAAACAAAACGGAGAACTATCGCAAGAGTCGTGGGCTATTTCCCCCGCTCTATTAGCTTGGTCAAGTGACCTCAGCCATGTGATCTAAAATTAATGGTTTTATTGGCTCAATCGAGACTGTAATGGGCATGTCTCATTTTTCATACATTGGATTACCTCAACAACAACGTCAGCTTTATTTGCATGACCGTACAAGTACATACAGTATTGCAAAAGCTATGTTTAGGAATCAAAATTACAACACAGGGCAATTACGTTACTTTGATAATAATATGTCACGAACATCAAAACAAGCTGAAATATATTTTGTGGATTGTATCTTGATAAAGTAATTAGAGGAGTTCATCAGTTCATTGATCAAATCGTTTATAGGTAACTGGGTAATATTTGGAATCAGAGTCTTGAGTTTATAGTAAAGTCCTAGTCATAGCGTATGTAGGACATTGAAAAAGAAAGTGAACTTCATCTTCTATTACATTATATTGCACCCACAAAAAGGGCAATGCCTATAATATCCTTCGTATTTTGATTGTAACTGCCTATTTCTATCATCAGTTTGTGATTTCTTATTCGTAGTTTTACTAAAGCCCTTCTCCCAGCTGTTCCTCTTGTTAAGTCTAAAGTAACTAGATGAGGTATGATCGGTTTTAAAAGATCTTTAAAATTCAAGTTTTTGAGAATGTTGAAGGGTGTTCTGCCAATATAAGATATATTCCTGTTTCATTGAACTTACATAGCTTTTTACCGTAGCTATATCTAATAAATCAGGGTTAAAGTCAGGAAGCTTAAAGTATTCTGAGATATTCATTAAATGAGAGTGGAAGATATTTTTGCCATTACAGTGTCGAATGACATTAAAAAAGCTTGGTTGACGAGAGATTCCTCATCTTTTGACTGTATATACAAAATGTATTTGAGAATTTTTTGATTGATAGTGATATGAAACGACCAAGCTCTGCTCTACAAGCTATATTAGAAGCTTTGTTGTTTACCTCTAAGTATCGTTTACAAAATTGAAGGTGTGCCTTCTCGATTTGTGAGCCGTCCAAGGTCTTAAATACACACCCCAAATTTCACTGTCATATGTTAGAATAGGGGAGATCATAGTATCAAATATTTCACAGGCGAGAGCTGCTTTTAGTTTGCTAAGATTCGTGTGTCGTCTCAAGCTGAAAAGGGCATGAAGAGCTTTCTCCTTGAGATGTTCACGTGACACTGAAAAATTTCCCGATGAGGACATTCGAGTTCCTAAGTAAGTGTACTCTTGTACAACATCAATTTTTTGGCTATCTATGAGAAAGTGAAAATCAGCATTTTTTCTCGCACGTTTCCGAAAAACCATAATTTTTGTTTTCTTGGGATTGATTTTCATCCGGTCCATGAAGTACAGAACAAAGATAATTTACCGAGGCAATTTTGTAGTCCTCTTTTGGATCGT